CGCAGTAGGGTCCAACTGGGGTCACATGACGCAGTAGGGTCCAACTGGGGTCACATGACGCAGTAGGGTCCGACTGGGGTCACATGACGCAGTAGGGTCCGACTGGGGTCACGTGATGCAGTAGGGTCCGACAGTCTTCTGTTGGCTTTGTCTTGGCCTTTTCGCTGGTTTCACTTACCGCCCAATACATGGACATGACCTAAAAAAAATTTCAGATCTCTATCTGCAAATTTTGCTTCCAGTGGAGTGAAAGGCACTAACATTTAGCCAGTCGTGGTACTTCTGCCCCCTCATCTGCTCTCAGCCGTGCAGCTTAAGCTTGAGGTAGCTTGGTAGAGCAGAGCTGCTCTTAAGTCGCGTTTATGAAGTGTGGTACAGATGTTACAAAAATGAATGAGAATTTTAACCAAATCAGCTGTGCACTGTGTACGTAAGGCAGGGTTATAATACATGGAAACGTTTTCATAAACTGAAATATAAAAATAAACCACAACAAATAAACTATTGCTTCCAAAACAACAAATAAAATACTTCCCATTAGTTTTTAAATACCGGTTTAGCCAAAGTGATGTTTCTTGTGCAGCGCACCTGAGCCTTCGCACTGCGTCGTGACGTTTTGTAGCTGCTAGCAAATTCGTACAACTTTGTCCATCTTAGAAATTACTAAAACCTGATATATACCTAGATTTACATCTTTAAAATAAAAACTAATGAATCAAACGTAGCGCTAACCTTGATTTCAGATGAAAATAAACACTAACCCTGACAGAGAACTACCTGGCTGTAGCAAATCATATTACGCCGGTATTTCCAGACCTTTTCACTCGACCATTGTTCCGCTACCCATTTTATCATTCTAATCAGAGTAGTAAAGATATTTGAAATAGTCCGACTTTACTTCCTGTATCATTCTAATCAGAGTAGTAAAGATATTAAATAGTCCGACTTTACTTCCTGCTACTTTTCATTTGTGTCACTGAGCTGTATTGCCTGTTGAGTGAATGACTGCATTTTTTTATTTTTATTTTTTTTGGTTGTGTGGTTTTTATTTATATAGGATATTCACATTTCTTTTGACATTCCTGTGTCTAAATATTCCTAAGAATTCTAAGTCTATTGCTCATATTGAAAGGGTGTACTTGCATTATATATCAGACATAAAATGATCTTAAAATGGCAATAATGCAGTTCGCCGCAATCATTTCTGGGACAGTAAAAGTAGTTATGACAGGCCTAGTTTGACAGCCTGGCTGCCTTGCAGCTTCCGGGAGATTCTGGAGGTGGCGGAGGACATGGCCATCGACATCCCTCACATCTGGCTCTACCTGGCTGAGATCATCTGCCCCATGCTGTGTGAGGGCGGGATTCCCATGGCGCCGCTCTTCAGGCGAGTCCCAGCGATGCCGGCCCTTTCCTGAGGATCAGTCCCACCTCCCCGCTGCGTGCGTGACACTACTTCTCACGGTGTTTCCCCACAGGGAGCTGTCTAGGCCGCTGATTCCCCTGAGCAAGGCGGGCATACTGCTTGTGGAGATACTGACCCTGTTATGTAAAGGAATGGTGAGTGACGGCCAGCATGGTGTAAAGCTGCATGAGCGACACACGCAGACACTGAGACTCCCTCCCTGTCCCTCAGAGCCATAAGAAAGCTGGGGCTTTGTGGAGAGATGCAGGCCTTAGCTGGAAGGACTTCCTGCCTGAAGATGAGGATGTAAACAAATTTGTGACTGAAAAGGTAAGGTTGTGTGGGGCAGTTTTCTTTTTAAAAAAAAAAATGTGTGCAGTTAGTCCTGGAGCTGTGTTCAGTAGCGGTGGCGGCTGATTCTGGGCTCACCCCCTATGTGTAGAAAGTGGAATTCACTCTGGGCGAAGAGTCTGAGCAAACCAGCAAGAAGGAGACATCTTCTGAGGAGCTGAGCAAGCAGCTGGACAAGCTGTTTGAGGAGAAAACCAGCAACCAGAGGATCTTTGACTGGGTGGAGGTGTGTATCTGGGGGCGGTGGGATCCATTATCCTATCCCTGGACAGTGCCGTTTAACCAAAGTGTCTTCTGCAGGCTAACCTGGATGAACAGCAGATCAGCTCGAACATGTTTGTCCGCGTGTTGATGACCTCTGTATGCCAATCTGCTATTACCTGTAAGTGGACAGGCCACCTGGGGTTCATCTACTCAAGTGAGGGGTGGGGGAGCACTGTTTTCACACATACTTACTTACTCCACAGCTGAGAATCCCTACAAGGTAGATGGCGAACAGATTACCCAGAGGGCCAAGGTACTGCAGAAGTACCTGACTGATGAGCAGAAGGAGCTGCAGGCATTATATGCCTTACAGGCTCTCATGGTGAAGATGGAGCAACCAGCGAGTAAGTGGGGTCGGGTGGGACTGGAAGGGTAAAACGTAATGAGACATGGAAGATGACACCTGTCTCCTGTGCTCACAGATCTGCTGCGCATGTTCTTCGACACGCTGTACGACGAGGACGTCATCAAGGAGGATGCGTTCTACCGGTGGGAGTCCAGTAAGGACCCTGCGGAGCAGTTAGGCAAGGGCGTGGCCCTCAAATCCGTCACCGCCTTCTTCACCTGGCTGCGGGAGGCGGAGGACGAGTCGGACAACAGCTAGGCAGCGCCGCACCCCCAGACCGTGGGCGGGTGAGCGGCGGCGAATCAGCGCGCGCGGCGGATCAGCGTGCGCGGCCCATGGCAGGTGGACTCATGATCAGAAACTCTGCTCGCGATCGAATCCAAGCAATCCACTGGGAGATTCTGCGCATCCTACACGCCACCGTTCATTTCCCTTCCCCTTTTCTGCCGAATGTCTTTAACAAAATTAAATAAAATGAGAATAATTCATGAAAAATGAAACTTATAAACTGTGGGAGTGCAGTTCCTTCAGTGTTTGAGGTTTTACCTTGTTTTAAAGCGTCGCTGTACACTATCGATGACAAAGTCCACGTCGACTAAGGCTGCTCTGTCTGAATATCATTGTCCTCATGGAACTCGATGCTCCGTCATGGTTCCTGTGTATGATTGTACACGGCCCTGTAGGTTAGTGTCCCCATTTTAAGTTGTAGGATTTTGGGAGTTTTTTTTATGTAAAGGAATTTTGAGGTGGATATGCTGGAGATTTGGAGATTTCATAAAGGAGGCTTATGATTTTGTTTGCTGTCAATTGTGGGGGGCATGGGTGTGGCAGACTGGGTGGGATGGACATTTGGCCTTTTCTGGAAGGGGGGGGCGGGGTAGGTCACTATACTCCCCCCACAAGCCACGCTCTGCCTGTGTCCCTGTTGGAGGTTGCTCCTTACCCCTGGGGCCTGTGCAGCCCCACCAAGCCTGTAGTGGATTTTAAAATTAAATCATTAAAACTTGAACGTATATAAAGAAATCAACTTATGAGAAAGGCAAAAAAAAAAAAAACACACACACACACATCCTAAAGCCTTTTCTGCTTCCATAAGTGGACATATTTCAGGAGAGTTCTGTAAATACTTGTTTTTTTTTTTTTTAATGAAATGCTAATGTAATGCCATGTAATTTTTTTTCCTTTACGAAAGTGGCAGTTTTCCTGTATGTATATTTTCCCTTGGCTAGCGGAAGGTGCTTGTGATCACCTGAATTCATTGATTTACGGTTGAAATTTGTAAATACTTTTTGCTTTAAGTATTTAATTAAAAGATTAATGCCTCTTTTCACATCAAACTGGAAAAATAAAGAACGTTGCAAATATGAACATCTGTGTGTGCCAGTTTGCCATGGGCTGCGGTCGGTGGGCGTCTGCTCTGCTTGAGCGAGTGGAAGCCTTTTGATGCCCCCATTGGATTCACTGCTTGCCTGGGACGTAACTGGCCGTGTGCACTGCTCTGCGGCACACAGCTGATTAACGGTGTTCAGTGGGGCTGAGTTTCAGCTGGGATTGTCCGTTGTAGAAGCGGGTCATCACGGAATCATGGAGTGTAGGAACGCGTACGTAAGTTATGCGGATCGACCAATGGATAAGTATTTCATCGTTATCCCGAGATCTCGGGCTTAAAGGGGGTTAAAAAGTTAAAGCCTGCTTTATTCCGTTCTTCGAGTGCTATTTCAGCTTGTCTCCAGGCGGGGGCACTATTGTATAATTTTCTATACTGCTTTTGTGCTCCCCTTTCTTGCCAGTTTGATTTTATTCAAGCCAGTCTTGTAGTTTCAGCTGCGTGTCGGTGGCAGCAAGTGAGGCGAGTCTAACTGTTGTGTAATTTATTTTTAAGCTGAACTTGCTTCTGAAGTGAGTCGTCCTGTGTAGGTGGAACCATAAAGATTATCCCCAGATCATCTGCAATGGACATTTAGTAGGCCTGACCAGGGCTCTATCACAACTCATAGCGTCTGTCCTTGATCGAAGTCTGTATCCTTAATAAGGGGTTAATGATTCATACCCTGTATGGAAACTATTGAATGCTGTCTTGTAGACTATGACTCCAAAGGCCCCTGTAAAATCAGATCATTATTGTACAGCAACTGTGCCCAGTACTGCTAATTACAGGCTAAAGTCTGACACTCCAAATGGGTTTACTTGCAGTCCAAGCGATTTGATTACGAGCCAAGTTACTGCTAAATCCAGTGAGCCCTGCGGTCCTGAAGGACCTGCCGCAGAATATGCCCATGAACTGCCACTAGGGGGTGCTGATTTTTCTCAGCTGATGGAATGTGTGAATCAGTCGCTTCAAAAATAATTACTGTGGCCACTGGCCTGATTTTCTGGGTGTTTGAACATATAGTTTGTTAAACATAATAATGTCTCCGGTAGAGGGAGCCATAATTATATGATATTTCCTTTTGCCTCCAGCTTCTGATATTTGGAGTTTGCAATAATGTATAGTATTATTAGCTTGGCATTGGAAACAAATATCAGTAGGTGATAGTTAAGTTCCTTATGGTACTTTTTATGATAACACAGCTATTACTGATTGGCCCCTGACTAATAGAGGTGGTTCAGTGAGAGATTATATTCACGCCTTTCTTGGAAGTCTGATTACAGTGCTTCATTGTCCCCTCACAAGTATTGTCATGGTGACTTTACATTTCTGTCTCCTGTACCTCTTTCTGCTGGCTACGTCTGGCCACTGCGCTGCTCCAGGTAAGCGATGTATCTGACCCGGTCACAGAGCACCGACTGGGTAATGGCCTTGTCCCACCATCCTTGCTTGGTAACTTCTACTCCTGTAAACAGACGCTGCAGGTATATGTTGATGTTTTAATCCAGGCACTGTCCTTCAATGAGATCCACAATTATTGTTGGAATAGACGCTACTGATTGATACTTTGTTGTGTGTATGAGTGGGTGCGAGGACCAATCCTGAGAATATCTATACAATAATTATTATCTATGCAATAGAAGCGGTGAGGTTTGCAGCTGTGAACCTGCTTTTACTGTATGTATCTGTGTCAGCTGAAGAAGAGAACCCAGAATTCTGGAGGAAGCTGGCTAAGGATGCCCTGCACTCAGCAATCAACCAAAAACTGAACACAAACGTCGCCAAGAACATCGTTCTTTTCCTGGGCGACGGTGAGGTTCCGCGTCTTCGTCGCATTCGGTACCCCCCCTTCCCGCCCGCCCGCATGCTGCCGCCGGAGCGCTTCCTGATGCCCAGTGTCTCCTCGTGCCCACAGGAATGGGTGTCACCACGATCACGGCTGCGCGCATCCTGAAGGGCCAGCTGCAGAATCGCACGGGAGAGGAGACCGTTCTCACCATGGACACTTTCCCTCACGTGGGCCTGGTCAAGGTACTACAAGGCACCACGAAGGCACACCCACGTTCGCACAAGTGGGTTTGGTCAAAGTGCACGTGTGATCAGAGCATAATCAAGTTAGTGCCTGATTAGCTGATTAGTGAAACCTGCATAACAGCAAAGCACCGACACACACAGACATACAGATGGAATATTTAGCCCTGGTATGGCTTCTAGAAGTAGAATCAGTTATCAAATGTGAGGTAGCTGGCTTGTTGTCCCCCTGACAGCATCCAAAGGGATCCAACATCCCAAGAGTTTCCACACCATGCATGAATTGGGCAAACGGACAGGGAAACAGACAAGTGCAGGAACGATGACTTGTACACCAAACCTCAAAGCCAGTCCTTCCTCTTTGCTTTCTCTTCTCCTGTCCTACGCACTCATTCTCCCCTCTCTTTCCATTCGCACTCCTAGCGGCTGGTTATATTTGTATCTCTGGGTGGCAGCGAGTTCCAGTGAAATGTCACAGCTGAATTCATTATGGTGACATCGCCTTGATTCAGACTGCGTTCACACACCCTTTACCCAACAGCAATTTGTTACTCCAAATGTTCATACACTATTAGCATTATTTCTTACTGCCATTATCAAATAAAAACACAAAACACTGTGAAACCACTGACCACAGAAGTCGTGCTCTTTTCAGGTATATATTAGTAATTATATTAGTGAGTTTGGTTTGTATGTTTGTGATGCGCACCTGCATCTCTGACCTCGTCCTACACAGGTGTATAGTGTCGACTTCCAAATCCCAGACAGTGCAGCTACAGGTACGGCCTACCTGTGTGGGGTAAAGACCAACCTGAACACAGTGGGGCTGAGTGCGGCAGCCCGGAATGGGGTGTGTCGCTCTCAGAAGGGCCGTGAGGTCACCTCCATCCTCAAATGGGCCAAGGATGCCGGTAAGTATTGGAGGTAGCTGATAATCACCCAGGGTCTGCCCAAGGCATAAGCGAATTACGCAGTTACGTCGGGCCCAGTGGCCACCAGGGGGCTCCCTGCATCAGCAGAAGGTGAGAAATGCCAGCTAGGTTAATCAGAATTTGCTTAGGGCCCCGAAAATGGTTGAGCCGGCCCTGCATTCACCAAACCTAAACCTTGTTGCTGTTGACTGTCCCAGATGCCCAGATCTTTTGGAGCTTCCTGGCTGAATCAACGTGAGATTTGACACACACTTTTACAGCTTTGTGTTATCTCCTGTAGTCTAAAACAGCTGGCGCCTCGCTTGTTTATCTGGTCCCTGTTATTGGGAATCGTGCTCAAAGTTTATTTAAGGCGCTAATCACAGGCAGTAGATTGTGTGTTACATTACATTAGTGTTACATTAGCTTAAAAAGCCTGGACCACTGACCTGTCCCTTGGACATCATCTGGGTTTAGGTAATGCCACTTGAGTTGAGGAATGATACCTGACTGCTACACTTATTGAATGGACATTTTTCCTTTTGCGCTGAGAAAGTGAGATCTGATTGGCCGTCATCATCTCTGCTTACTAGGGAAGTCTGTGGGCATAGTTACAACGACCAGAGTGCAGCATGCGTCGCCAGCAGCCGCCTATGCCCACAGCGCCAGCCGGAAGTGGTACTGCGATTCAGACATGCCCGCCTCAGCGAAGAAAGAGGGCTGCACTGATATCGCCTCCCAGCTGCTCAATAACACGGACATCGATGTAAAAGTCACAGTCACACACCTCCCCTGTAGGGGGCGACAGGCGTCTCTCTGTCAGGGTGTGCCAGACCGCGATGCCGCTCTTTTCTGCCCGTCAGGTGATCATCGGAGGAGGCAGGAAGTATATGACCCCCAAAGGAACCCTGGACCCTGAGTATCCGGCGGATGCCAAAGCAGCGGGCATGCGGGGAGACGGCCGCAATCTCATTTCCGAGTGGCAGCAAATGAAAGTGGGAAAGGTGACGAGCGAGAGAGAAACACTGGCACACAGGGAACAGCCTTCTATTCCAATGACAGAGTCAGCTATGGTCATGTGACAACATGCATGGTCACATGACTTCCAATCACATTCAAAAGGCTGGCGTTGCTTGTTCGCTACACAAAACACCCGAGTGCTGAAGCTCTTCCTCTCTTTGGTGTGACGCAGGTGGCGCGCTACGTGTGGAACCGGACCGATTTTGACGCCGTTGACCCCAGTAATACAGACTACCTTCTGGGTCAGTGTCGTGGACATTTTGCCCACTTCAGGTCACCTCTGTAAGATGCATGTATTGACATTGAAGAGTCACCCATCTCTCACTAAAACCCCATAGCATTGTTCGAACCCGGGGACCTGCGTTTCGACGTGGAGAGGGACCCTGCAATGGATCCCTCCCTGCCTGAGACCACAGAGAAGGCCATTCGCATCCTGCAAAGAAACCCCAAAGGGTTTTTCCTCTTTGTGGAAGGTGAGCCCTGGGAGATGCCCATTCCTGATAGACTGAAGTGGTCACATGATGATTCAGTGTCGCTATGATGGATGTTGGGCAACAACAGCAGTTAAGAGAAGACCGATAAATAGATACAGTGTTGCTGACATATTCAGGGAGCTAAATCACTGCCAGTCTTCTCTGATGGGAGCCTCGACCTGGAGCTTAGATTTCAGATGTTTACACTGGAACAGCATCGCAGTATCGAATTTCCCTAAAAAAAGATGTAAAGAATAGACGTCGTGCTGTGGGAACACTTTCCTGTAACTGAAAAGCAGATTCTTTTATAATCTCTGGTACATTGTGTCAGGTGTCCATGTCCTCAGACGCCAAGCAGCAACAGGAAGTTCTGTCAACAGCCACTAAGAGCAAATCTGCCCTCTTTGTGCCCCTTTTCTGCCGTAGGCGGACGAATCGACCAGGGCCACCACGCTAGCCGGGCATCCATGGCGCTGCATGAGACGGTAGCCCTGGACACCGCCGTGGAGAGAGCGCTGCAGCTGACCAGCGAAAACGACACCCTGACCTTGGTCACCGCTGACCACTCGCACTCTGTCTCCTTTAACGGCTACCCATTCCGTGGGAACAGCATTCTGGGTAAATTCCCCCCGCTGCAGCTTCCTGGTAACCTGAACACCCCCGATCAGGACCGACGTGGCACCGATATGCAAAATGGGTGCCATGTCCTTTCTCCTCTAACTACGCAAAACGCAGTCAGAACGCTGTCCGTCGGCACATGGCGAGGTCCAAACACACCCTGTCAGATTAGCACTCCCCGATTTGATGCAGTGCGTCCTCACACTGTGCTGTGTCTGCGAGTGTGAAAGTCTGTTGCGTGGGTGCGTATGCGCCTGCATGCCTGTTCAACTATAACACCACATTGTGGTTAGGTGTTAAGAAATACTTATATATATATATATATATATATATATATATACACACACACACACACACACATATCAGGTGCTGTGTGTGTTTTTGTGTATGTGTACCTGATTCAGGGAGTCTCTTCTTCTCCCACAGGGAAATCTCCATTATTTGGACTGGACATGATGCCTTACACCACACTGATGTACGGAAACGGTCCAGGACATAAAATCATCGATAACAAGCGACCGGACATCCGTGGGGTGGACACAGGTCAGTTTAACATCCCCCACTGCTTCTAAGACCCATCTCCTATGACGAATTATCCTCCAAGACCTACTTAAGTCCTCCTCTCCTTCAGCATCAAAGGACTACGTGCAGCAGGCGGCCGTACCCACGGATTCGGAGACCCACGGAGGTGAGGATGTGGCTGTTCTGGCCCGAGGCCCCATGGGACATCTCTTCCACGGAGTGCAGGAGCAGAGCTACATCCCTCACGCGCTCGCCTACGCCGCCTGCATCGGCCCCGACCAGAGCCACTGCCCGCCACCCCCCACTCGAAGCTCCTCCCCCGTCCTGAGGGTCAGTGGGCCCATCATCCTCCTCAGCCTCCTGCTAGCTGCTCTGCTTCACTGACAACTGGGTATCTTTTCAACATCCTCCCCCCCAACTTCACCCAAGCACCAAAATCTCTTTCTGTCCTTTGTTCCCGTTTCAGTCCAACTTGGTATGAAGCCATTGTAATGCTGCTTTATGAATAGTTGGAAAATGATGATTCAATAAACTTTGGAGAAGTAGATGTAAGCTTGGTGAAGCACTCTGCTTTTTTGGGCAGTGTTTAGCTCAGCAGGTTGGTTTGTGGGTTCGAATCCCGTTGCTTGCTGAGGGCATTGTGTAACTCTGTGGGTTATGTTGTGGGTTCAAATCCCATGGCTGGCCAAGGGCAGTGTGTATCTCTGTGGGTTGGGTTGTGGGTTTGAATCCCATTGCTGGCCAATGGCAGTATGTACCTCAACAGGTTGGGTTGTGGGTTTCAATCACACAGCTGGTAGAAGGTGGTGTCTAACTCAGCAGTTTGGGGTTGTGGGTTTGAATCCCACGGCTGGCAGTGTGCAGCTCAGTGCAAGGTTGTGAGTTCAAACTCTCTGGCCGGCAGAGTAGTCCTCATTGTGTTCTTGAGGAAGCCCCTTAACCCTAACTATTCCCAGGGCACAGGTGCTGGCTGTCCCTATGCCCCGATCCCAAACTTCCTCTCACTTGTATATGCTGTTTCCCATGGAGAGTAAGGGGGTTTGTGAAAACTACCCAATTTCCCCATGGGAATAAAAAAATTAAACATCAGCTACAGATGCACTGGATCACATCACAACCCCTCCCATCACAAAGAGTACGTCTCAGTTTCCCATCCCTAACATCAATGGGGGTCGGTGAGTTGTGAGTCTTGTGCTAACTCCATGCCTCAGAGACACTTTCCGCGGATGATGGCCTGAAGCGCGTCTCCAGCAACACTGACCCGGGTGACTCATGCACGGTCCTCTCATGCAGGAACCCGGAACTGTCATTTATATGTAAAACAGGAAAATTGACTCGTATTTTCCTTGGCCCTTGTTGTGTTTGATCTTTCCTTCGGGAGATCTGCTCGGCTAATTAAGAGTCAGAGGTATCTTGCATCGGAGAGGTTGAGTATTGCAGCTAATAAATAATGCAAAATATTTAATGATCATTTTTGTACCATTATAAAAGATTATGGTAATTTGCAGCTCCTTTGTCCCTTGAGAACACAACCTTTGAGTCATATCAGTTTGAGGACAGATATAACATGGCTTTCCTGTATAGTACATTCTTTCTCTTTCATTTGCAATCAGTTCAGTGAGAGCAGAACAAACCCTTTGCCTCTGCAGTCTCCAGACTGCCTTGGGGTGAGGGGAAGTTATTTTTCTTATTCAGAAGAAATTTTGTAGCAGGCCCTTACCCAGAATGCATCTTGGTCTCCCACATGCAGCCACGTACTGAATTTTAGCCTACCTCAGCAGTTCTGAAGGGCGAGGTTTAGAATTTATTTATTCTAAATAAACCTTTGTGTCTATTTATTATTTTATGTATAGCTTTTGACTTCCAGAATTAAGTTATATTATTTTTAAGCAAACCTCACAATGAGTTCAGGAAACATAAATACATGTATATCAAAAACAGCTTTTAAATGTTGAATTAACTTTTTAGGCTCGGATCCAGATGAAACCTGTAACTCTGTATGTAGCCGTTAGTCAATGGTAGGCTACTATTCGTCTTTGCAGACTCGGCCATGTTACATCCATCTCGTTTTGAGACTCTCCCGGCTACAGACATGCAGAGGCCAAGGGCTTCTCTGCATTTTTGCAAATCAGTCGATTTCTGGAGCTTTGGTCCACCTCGGATGATTATCCGCACGGCACAGCTTCCAAACCTCACCCAACGATCGTGGCAACCAAGCACATTAACTGCTGATGGAAGGGATGACAGTAGATGGCACTGCAACACAATTCTATACTCATGCAGCACGCTGTAATTTATGCCAGAATTTGTCAACAAAAATAAGATGGAAGAAATTCAAGACCAGATAAGTCAGGAGTTAGTTCATATGTAGGATTCATACACACGTCCTTTGCAGTAGGCTTTGAATCTCTACTACTCCATCATGGCTAGAAACAAGACGTTCAATTACGGAGTAACTGCTCTGAAGGCGATACATTCTCCATTAAAGTGTTCTTCAAAAGCTTTCTGCTATATTTCCTATTTTTCATCTTCTATCACAATTTATACAATGTCGACCATTATCTTTTCGCGACTGAGTGGTTATTTTTGTGAGAAGCGCTCACAGGTTTGTTTAGAGAAGGGATCGCAAAGGCTTTGTTCTTCTGTTTAGGAAGATCATTTACCGGCCATCGCTGTCAGACACAGCCGGGTTTTGTGCTTTAGCGCGTTCAGAATCATTGGTGTCCTGGCGCGATCTGAATGAAGGATTTCGGCAAAATAATTCAGAAATAACGCAGCGTTTATAGAAAACAGCTGTTGCGGGCAGACGCAAGAACTCTCCATAGCAAAAAAATTTACATAGTTAAAAAAAAATGCACATACTATAAATGTGTGATGTCCAGCGCACTTCGATGTAGTTCATCCCGACACAAGTAATATTTTGCGGTAATTTTTATGAACGATTTAGACCTATAAGGACATATAAATATATACATCCAAGAAATTAAGAATGTAGATACATGACACTGGGGGAAAAGTCCAGGTTTCTGTGTATGGTGTAATGTGAGAGCACGATAAATGCTTCAATTGCACAAACCACCAATCAGTTGATTTATGTCACTTATGTGGAGTGACATCAGTCGCAGCTAATGTCCCGTCGCGCCTGCCCGCCCCCTCTTCACGCTCCTCTCCCTCTCCGCTTCTTCCCTGTTGCAGGCTGGGCGATTCAGCGCCTCCATCCAATCGCAGGCGATTCCGCTCTGTGTCAGAAAAAAAAACAGACTGATTTATATGGCCTGTTTTCACGCCAGGTTGGGACCGGTGTTCACTGCGCGTCTTCTTCTCCGGGACGAGGGAGAGAAATTGCAGTGCAAGAGGGCCGGTGTGTGAGGATTTCACCTTCAGGAACCCTTAGCTGGAGAGGCCAATGCTGCTACTGAACCCACCCTGGCAGTCGCTGTCCACCGGCCGTGGTGCTCAAACAGACGCATACATCCTTCCCCGGGTGACGTAGTCGAAAAAGTCAATGCTAGTGGGGGATTGGTTTTAAAAACAAGGGGTATAATAAAGGCAGAGATAAGTGAGCGCGCTATTAAATAAATAATATAAAAAACAAAATCACAAAACAAGACGGGATCCAAGTGACTGGATTTCTCAGCACTGTGTCAGTTTCCTCACTGAAGTGGTCGAGACATCGACAAAGGAAGAGGAAAAAGACTTCAGTCCATGAGGTATGCTTAGATAGGTTTGCAGAAAGGATGAGATCGTGTTGAATTTACGAAATAAACAGATTTGCGATTACATAATATTGATAATGGGCTGTTGCGGATAGAAAAGCGCTCTTGGTAAGACGCCTTCTGTGATTTAACCCAGCGTAGGCGCAGCGCACAAGCACAATTTACGGATCGCATCCGAGTAGGTAAGTGAGACGGCAACGGCGCTCCGCCCGGCTGCGCTGCGCCAAAGCAGCCTTTGCGAAGGAGGCATACGGCGCTGGTGTATCGGCGCGTCGGGGACAAGGCTGCCCCTTATGGGTGCAAGGCCGGGGCGAAAGGCGAGTTTAACGGTAGCAGAGGGAGCCGTTTGGTGCCGGCCGACGTTGTGAACTAGTGCTTTGGCTGCAATAACGGGACCTGCCGTTAAAGGTAACGCGGTTCTTCTGCAAAGTGCAGAAACACTAATTCGCCTGTTTACCACTAGCTGTGGTCAAATGCGTGCTATGCTGTGCCGGCGGTTCAGCGGATCCGAAATGCGGGATGAAACGCGAACGGAGACCCGCAGCGGCTGGCAGCTGCCAAGCGCGCTTCTCTAGTGACACCCCGATGCCCTGTAATATTGCTCCTCACATTTTCTCCATTAATCTTGCATTAGCTAGCGTCAGATTTATCTCCCGGGCCAGCGCTGCACAACTCCGTATTCATCGGTGTGATGACCGATCAGATGCCAACTTCATCATCTCTCAGTCAAACGACCGGTCCGTTTTTAGAGCCCTGACAAATAACCGGATTTATTTCCACTGCTTTAACAGCCAGTCATTTGCTCTGGTCGTAATTATTTATTACGGCCTTTTCGGCACTTCAAAAGACTGATTATAAAGGGCATCATTCCATATGTCACTCCGCTACTCTCTGCACGCACAAACACGGTCCAAAGCGTTAGGGACAAGGGCGACGACAGGCTTTAAACTGGCAGAGATGTGCTCATTCACTTTCGAGCGGACGCAGCCTGGATGCGGTAACGTTACAGGTATCCCCCCCTTTCGCTACCCACTTCTCAGCTTATATGTGCAACGTTAGTAATTGGATCCTCCCCAAAGGCTCGAGAAGTGCTTTCCCATAAGAGGGTTCTTTTACCGGTGTGGGATTAAGATTACCCCGAGGGCACTGGCATGCAGTCGGCAGTGCTCCAAGCAGAGTGGCGACCGGTGTTCTGGATTTTGACGCTTAATGATTTAATGTTTAATGCCCTTTCTGTCCTCCTGGGGGGAAAGGCTTATCATGTGCATATTCATCTTTTCAGCCTTAAAGCCCCTCCGTCGCCGCATTCCCGGTGAGCACGCCTACACCCCGTTCTCCCAGTTTGCGCACCGGTGCGGGAAGTCGCGCGCAGGAACGGCTCCGTCGCCGTTTCCATGACGACCGAGCGAGCCGTTCCAGGGACCGGACGCGGCCGCGAGCCACCCGCGAGCGCTGCCCTTTGCCGCGTGGAGGCGTGTAAGCGGGAGCTGCCGCGTTGAAAAGGGTGACGCACGGAGATGGAGGTACGGTCACAGCACCGATGCTGGACCGCTAACGGCGCATACCCCTGGAGAGGCAGGCAGATAAGCTGCTGCCGGGAACAGCTGCTGTAATTGACCGCATTGTGTACGGTTGTTGCTCTTATATATGTATATCTCATGCCTGTACGCACTTGTTGAATTCAATAGAAGACAATGAGAATAACCTTTTACATTTTTTAGATTTTATCATTATTGTTACATGATGTCTATGAATTTTTATTATGCTCTGTAGATGCAGTTATAGGAAATGGCACTGTGACCTCTCTGTCCATTTAATCTCAGCATGTGAAATGTGTGCATGAAAAGTCATCAGTAGCATTTCCAGGGCTACGTAGATGCATGGAATAAATAAGCATAAACACTGACCAACCTTTAGTATACTGTCTGTACTGGTAATTACTTGCTAACTTTCAGTGATGTAGCTTCAGCAACAGTTGGATTCCCATCGTCATGGTAACATGAACTGAAGTGTGTAGGCTGTTGCTTAGCTGGTTGTGTAAGTTGAGGATTTATATCTAAAATATAAATCTGTGCTGTGTATGGACAATGACACATTAAACCTGGGTCACTGGGTCACGTCACGGAGTTCTTCTTTGGGTCACAACACAGAATTACCACAAACCCTTCACAATACCTCCTGTTATGGACAGAAAACACAAAACGTTACAAACCCACATACTGGATATTAGGTAACCAAATCTGAACAACTATTTCTGAGTTCTCTGTGCGTGGGAAACCTTCACTGAGGCTTCAAGCTGAAGCAGACTAGGGACATGCGTTTAATCTGGCAGGATATTTTGGGATGTGTTCAGAGATGAATGGTAACAGTTTCTGCTAACCTGTAGCTTAACGTGGAACCATCATCTTCACCTGAACATCTAAGTAAATGTTATGTGTTCAACCTGAACACATGTGAAATGTTTTCGTTTAGCAGAATAACTGCAGTACAGCATGGCACGTGTTGTCAAAAGATATAAGAACAGCAGAGAGATGGAGGTGTGCTGACATTTGAAAAAACTGACAGCAAGGTCTTTAGGCAGGTGAAGTGTTTATCAGAATAAACTCTTGGTAATTCTGTACCTTTAATGTCTTCTTAAATCTTTCTGTGTTGTGGTTCATCACTACTTTTAGCCTAAGGGAGATGTCTTCTACAGTGTTTGCTGAATCCTCGTGTAGTTAAAATGAGACGGGGGATTCTGCTGAAGGCGCAGCAGAAATTGAATTGTGCTGGGCACAGATCTGCCGTTTGGTCTGTCTAAGGATTTTATTATTTGCATGGTGTTTTATGGCAGCATCGGTCATCTGCGTGACGACTCCTTCTACTGAGAGGAGCCGCTGACACGGACCGTGACTCTGCCCTAGCCGGCTCAACCTCTTTCCAGAGATTTCACATGAATACACAGAATGTACCTCCATGTCATTTGGCTACAAAGAAATCCATTCCTTCAAAGGTCTGCGGCAGCATATAATGGAGAATGGGAGGCCAGCGCTGGGGTAGCATGCCCGTTGATTTCTGGACTTTTACTGTAAATTCCTGTCCAGCGATCTATCTGTGTCCAGACAGATCCTTGCAGTGATAATGTTGCTTTGCTCCTTTAGTCTATTTCGTTTTGTGAACGTGCCAAACGCTGGACTATAAAAAGTTAAACTATTCTGTCAGCCAAACACACTGCAATCTTGTCATTTTTCTATAATTTCCAAGCTGTATCTTATAAAAACGTAGCTAGGTACCCTTAACTGTAATTTCTCACCGCATTTCTCATTCATTTAAAAAGTGAATGCCGTGGAATACTTAAAAAAATATTCAATAAAAAATAAATTGACCACCATCCTGAAAGTAAACAGATGAAGAATAAAAAATAAATTAACTGAGCTGCTGAAAACTGTGTCAGACACCAATACATGTGTGACACATTAAACTAGATCTAAAATAACCATAAATGATTTTTATAAGCTTAACATCAGGGTGGAATAGTGGCTCTCTCCTACATGGTTTGGGGTTTGAATTAGGGAGTTTGAGTGTTTCCCCTGTATCTCCTGCAGTCATATGCTTAGGTGAACTTGCATACCTAAATTGCCTGTGCATGGTGAGTGTGTGTGTGCAGCCTGCGATGGATCATTATCCCATCCAGGGTGTTGCCCAGCTTTGTCCCTTGTGCCCTGTACTGCCTGGGATAGGCTCCACACGGCCCTGCTTAGGATGCATCGATGGGAATACATTTTGTAAGTCTTACATTTATTTATGAAGTGAATTATTTTGAACGTACGGAAGTAAGGCTAATGCAGCAGCACGGAGTGCCGCCTGCGCTCGTGAGCAGTCCTGCTTACAGCAGAGGCTGCACGGCCTTGTGTTCTGAGAAACACGATACGGGCATGGCGGCAGAAACTGGAGAATCACCGACGGAAGCGAACTCACTATTTCAGGAAGCGAAGCAGAAAATGATTTTCTCAGTCTTTCCTGGTTTAATAATTACTTAATTAACCAAATCTATTTGCGTCGTTAATTTCGGTTTGGGTTCTCCATTCTATTTTATTAAATATTCACCAGTTAGTTTTCTAATTATTCGTAAGTCATTCAAGGTAATTAGCAATTAATTTTTAATATGGTTTCCAAGCGAAATAATCATGGCACAGGGAACAATAATTTTTTTCCTTCAACTAAATGCAATTTAATAACCTTATGACGGAGATTTGGATGGTTGATTTTCATGCAGGTATCGATTTTATTACTGTGACTTATATCGGTTGCCTACTGTCACGTAGGCTACCTGGCTTGCATGCAGTGTTATTGTACGCCGCAATGCTGCATACGTTACGAACTACCTTAACGCCGGCAGTCATGCTCTCCGTTACATCTCTGACTTAATAAAAGCACAGCGCCAAGTCTGTTTTTAAACGCAGTCTCGTTTACATTGAATTAATTTCTGGAATATAATAATTTCCTAAACGAAAAAAGTAAAAATCCAGTTACACTAGCCTACTACCGACCACAAATGAATTAAAAAAATCTTGTTTATGAAGCTGACGAGTTCAAGAAAATAACAGCTTCTTATGTTGATTCTTAAAAACTAGATGATATTTGTATCATCTTTAACCCGTTTTTACCTAATCTAACAAGATCTACAAGGCTCGATCAAATTGCTTTGGTAGGCATGTTTATTAGTATTATTTATGGTATTTGTACTTGAAGTATGAAAAAAAAAAAAACAGGTTTCGTTACTCACCTTGTTATTCACTATCGGTAGGTTATGAGAGGTGCCGGTACGCAAGAAACGTTCCCGGTACTTTGAAGAGAAAGACAAAGAGGTACCGGTACTTCCTACCGATGAGTATTGGCCCACTTCAAGCACTCGTATACTTGCTCATATAATTACATTTGTGCATCTGCACCCTAATTTTTTTTATCTTCAAAAACAGAATAGCCTACATTTTGTTTGCTTATTTTTTGTTGAAAAGAGTAGATATTTAACCGCAATGACGGGGAACAACCTGCTGGAATTGAGAGTGCACCGGGATCTTCGCGGTGTATCACACACGACTTGAAGACATTGAGCAGCCGTGTACTTGTTTATCATCTGATGGCCTCTTTTAATCATTGCAATTAAAGCAGGTGAATCTGTGAATTAATTGACTGTGATTTTTCAGGTGGCTATGCGTGTGCACGACTTTCCCACCATAATCTAGCCGTATTTGCTTGTATAAAGAAAGCACTCTACACGGAGGAGCTGAGGAGGGGACGAGCAATACGGACTCACAGTCAGCAGCCGCGAGCATCCTGCTCTGCATGTGACGTCACTTACAAATCACGCCGCGTATCCTGGGAGAAATCGTCCCATGGTGACCGGTTGCCATAGAAATGTACCTTTAGTGGAAAGTTGGGCAGCTAATATCCGCTTCACGATGCAAACGGGTACAGGGGAGGAGGATGCGTGTCGGTAAAACGGGGCTCTGGGCAAAAGCTTCGCAAAGGGGCGTTGTCACCACCGAGAAAGACATTGTGGATTTATGTTTCTGTTGTCTACTCCCCCCTGTTTTTTACTGAAATCTCTCTTTACATTAGTATTACTGCTCGCACAGTGATATTCCGACGCTGATCACATATCGACCATCGGGGAGCGTCGTTCTCGTCGCCCGGGAGCTGTCCGTGACCTGAAGGCGGTAGGGGATCCGGCGCGTCGGCCACCCCGCTGCTGCGATGCTCCGACGGCGGAATCGCTTCGTCACTTTAGAAATGCGTGAAGCGTACGAGTGTGCAGAGCGCTGCTTTTAAACGTCTTTTAGTTAACGGGAATGAGCAGATTAGTATGTTTTATTATAAAAATGAGAATATAAAACAGCTGTAATTATTAGGCTTTATTAGTTGTGTGCTTTTTTGATACCATTGTGCATTTAAAATACTGTAGTTCAGGATTTACATGTTTTGATCACTGGGCTATTTGAGGGACGTACTGAGACCACAGCATGGACACAGATTTGGGGATGGATGGTAGGGACACGTCCAACATTGTGGGAGTACCATGTATGTTTAGGGGGGTGGGGGGTTCGGGGCTGATTTGATTCTTACCAATGTCGAAACCAAAGCTGCACTCTTGGATACTAGGGTGCATATATGGGGGGTGTTTGAGTCCAGACAGAACACACTGGCTGTTCCTCCCCAGGACAGTTGGCTCCATTTGTGGGAGCCTCGTAAGGCTCGCAGTGCACCAGTGTGGGAGGGACAGTAATGTCACTCCTGGCGGGCCTGTGATTGTCTGTGTTTATGGCACTTGGCAGTGAAGCAAACATCCAATCTGGTACTTCGGGATAATGAGCAAACCTGTGGCCGTCCTCATCAAGGAGATGCACTCGGGTTATTTAAGGAAATCACAAGAAAAGGATGAGAAATGCAATGAAAGTGCAGCTGCCAGCATCTGCCTGTCTGACTGTGAGCAGGGGGCCGCTTCCCCCTCTCCTATCCTGTTCTTTCCTCTCATCTTGTCCTTTCTCCTCTCCTCCCTTCTTCACTCTCCTTTCCTCTTTTCCCTCTCCTTCTCTCTCCTCTTCTATTCTGTCCTCTCTTTCCCCCTCATCTTGTCCCTTCTCTCCTCCTTTCTGTGCTCTTCTCCCCTCTTCTTTCTGAACTCATCTCCTTTCCTCTCTTCCCCTCTCTTCGCCTTCCTCTTCTTTCTTCCACCCCTTCATCTTGTTCCTTCTCCTCTCATCTCCTTGCCTCTCTCCTCTCCTCTCTCTCCTTCCCTCTCCTCCCCTCTTTCTCTCTTCTTTTGTCCCTTCTCTTCTCCTCTTATCTCTACTCATTACTCTCCTCTTCTTTCCTGCTCTCCTCTCTTCTCCTATCCCCCCTTCTTCCCTCTTATCTCCCCTCACCTCTTATCTGAGCTCTTCCCCTCTCCTCTATGCTACTCTCCTTTCCTGCTCCCCATCTTGCACTCTCTCCTCTCCTTTCTCTTCTCTTCTCCACTCTCTTTCCTCATCGCCTCTTATCTCCTCTCTTTCCCTCTCATCCTCTCTCCTCTCCTCCTTGCCGTTTGAGCATCAGTATTGTGTGTGTATACATGTTTTACTTTGACTGGAAAGGTCTTTATGTACCAAATGAGCACTGCTATCAGTTATCTGTCCATGTCAGCTGTTTATGTACTCATATGCCAACTGGCATGATAATCATTGATGTGTATGGATTCCGCAGCACAAGCAGAGGGCGAGAGAGCACATCATTCTGACTGGCAGCATTAGGGCAGCAGACACACAGACACAAACCATACATCTCAGAATTGGGCACAATCATTCACATTATAGCTTCTATCCACAGCCATCATATTGTATTTACACCAAGATGTTTGGTTGATGCTTCTTTCTGAAGGATCTTGCCTAAATTTGACCTCTTCAGACTGGGATGCTTTTACCAGAGAACAGAAGAAGAGGGTCCAGCAGCATGTTTCCACTGGGGACTCGAGGAGACAGTCGTCCTTCTCCAGCTCCATGACCTTACGACCATGCTGCCTATTGCCAGTCTTTTGTTAGTTGTGTCGCACCTTTGTCTTGTTTTAGAATGAACAGTCATACTTACCTTCTTGTCACCTCCTGGATCAATTTCATTTCAGTATCTGGATGCTCACAGCGTTCTTGTGCAGTCCAGATTCCTGCTGACCGTCCATTTCTTGCAGGTAGATGCTGATGCTTGGGTCAACATGTTGCCAAAATCGAGGAGAGCGTTAACCATTCAGGAGATCGCGGCGTTGGCCAGGTCATCGTTACACGGTAAGTCCACGCAGAGATTCTTCTATGCACAGACACAGATGCACATTGTCGCTACGTGCCTTATGGTTTCTGTGAGCTGCAAGTTTCTTCTCGGCAGGTATCTCACAGGTGGTGAAGGACCATGTGACCAAGCCGACCGCCATGGCTCAGGGCCGTGTGGCTCACCTGATCGAGTGGAAGGGCTGGTGCAAACCTACCGACTCACCCGTGGCCCTCGAATCGGACTTCAACTCCTACTCTGACCTGACAGAGGGAGAGCAGGAGGCGAGATTTGCTGCAGGTTGGCTTCAGAATAGATACAGATCCACACACACACAGACACACACACACACACACACACACACACACACGCCGGCTGCATCTAGCAATACCGTTATACCTGCAACACTGACGCAGGCTCCTTCCACAACAAAGCCATTTCGGGGTATCCTGACACTACCCAATGCCTGGCACCCGGGGAGGGTCCCAGTAACCCTATTCCATGCTGGGTACACTGATTCTTCTTGGTACCTTTTCATATGATTGTCGGATCATAGTTTGTCTCTCCAGATGAAAAATAGCTCTGTGCTCGTTGAAGGACACAAACCCTTTTCCGCCATGCCAAGGTCACAGCCCTGAGAGGGAAGTCTTCACATGTGCAGCTGGAATTTGGTTCCGGACCCAGTTAGGGCAGTAAGATCCAACAGCATTTCCGGTCTGGAGTTGCTTTGTTTAACCCCTTGGCTGCCATCAGGGGCATAGCTAGAGCTGAATGGATGTGGGGCTTTACTTGGGGGGGGCAAGCAGTGGCAAGCATATAATGTACAAAGTTATTCAGAACACATTTATATGGGGGAGGCTAAAAAACATTTTAGGGGGGCTAAGCCTAACGATGCCCCTGACCGCCATGTCTGTGCTCATCATCACATGCCGCCTGCCTGTTTTTCAGTCCTTCTGCATATATTAACCAAGCGAGCCTCTGCCTCGCTCACCACGTTTGCTAAAACCAGCTACAGACTGATCTGAACAGGCTTTAATTCAGTGAATTTTTTGTCCCC